CGTGCGGAACCACAAGGCTCAGCACGAGGATGCAGCACGGGCACTTGACTCCCGTGTACAGGACTTGGAGCAATCTGCACCAAGACCCAATGCTGGCAAGACCAGCAGTGCACCCTCTAGCCGCCCCTTGGAGGAACGAGTTGACCACGTAGTCGCAATGCTCGGCAACATCAGTACCTTCGCTGCACCAGCCACCATCAGCAATCAGTTGGACACCTTGAAGACCGAGGTTCAGCAACTGCACCAGCTGCCTAGCAAGGATGGCAACACCGTGCAGCACTACAAGATGCCGACATTCCAAATCGAGAAGTTCGACAATTCTACGCATCAAGACCCGGTCCTCTGGTGGGAGGGCTTTACAACGCAACTTCAGATTCTGTTCGTCGTCAAGCACGCGTACATCGGCGCGCTATTTCTCAACTCAAAGGGCGGATGCCAGATCTGGTTGAGCCACCTGACAACCGTCCACGGCGTTGACGTCGCAGATCTGAAAGATAAGATCTCTTGGGAAGAGTTAACACGGCTATGGAAGAAGCGGTTCATCGTGGACGACGCCCCGGGGCTCGCCGTCAACCGCCTCTTCGCTATGACGCAAGGCAACACATCGACATGTGACTGGCTCACGGAATGGCAAAAGATCGCGGCAACGCCCGACCTTGACTTGCCATTTTCGCATCTACGTCGCGAGTTCTACAACCGGTCATGTGCCGCCTTGAGCCTTGCACTTGGTGATCGCGAGCAATACGCGACCTTTGCCGAAATCATCGACAAGGCAAGGGAGATCATCAAGACCAATAGGGCAGCTGCACATGAGAAATCAGCATGGCAGCCAACCTATGTGGAGAAGGTGAAAACTGGTCCCCGGCCGCAGCATGTTGCTGCAGTCCAATCGGACAACATTGTGGAAGACCAGGCAGCCACCCAAGCGTCACGTGAGGGAGATCAGGTGGCTGCTGTCCAGCCGCGAAGCAACAACAAGTCCCGAGGAAACGGGAAGGCGAAAACCGCATCGCCGGCCTGAAACGGACAGCCATGTATCAAGTTTGACCGAGGCATGGGTCAAGTTTGACCGAGGCATGGGTCAAGTTTGACCGATGCGGAATACAAGTGGCGCGGCCGCTACGGCTGCTGCTATTGGTGCAACAACACCGAGCACAAGACCTCCCAATGCCCGGATCAAGGCAAGGAGGATGTTCGGCCTCGTATCAACTCGGGAAACTGAGTTCCACGGGAGGTGAGGCGACTCCACCTCTCACTCCGCCAGATTCGGCCGCCTTGCTAGCGGCCTCCTACACATCTGGGGAGGATGCGAATGTCGCAAGCCCTCGGTACACTTACAAGGACTATGCTGTCCACTTGGTCCCACCGTCGGACCAACCGCTCCACGTGCAACAATCTACCGCATGCACGGTTTCATCACCATCGGCAACCGATTCGGCAGCTTCGCCGCCATCTATCGCTGGGGATTCAACGTCATGGTCAAGACTTGAAGAGCTCGACCCGTTGACATTTGCGGACTTCCAATGGATGCCCCTTCCCCGGTCCGGTCGATTGCCGAAACCGCATTGCAACGTGCTCATGGCACAATTGCGGGATTACTTGCACACTGCAGTACCARCTCCGTTTATGGACGCCGGAGTAGAGGTTGTCGACCTTCACGCCTACATTGCGAAGATCTACCGCGAGTTCAAGACACAACGGTACGACGACATCGACGCCCCATTGTTATATGTACGCATTCAGATCGGAGAGGCGACCTGCAGCGCTTTGCTCGATTGCGGAGCATCTCGCAACTACATGAGCCAGGACTTTATGGTACGCGCCGGCCTTGACCCACGTGTCCGGAAGAAGTCCCAGCCTACGCAAGTCACGTTGGCAGATGGTCACACGCACAAGTCAATCGACCGGTGCATTGATGACGTCCCCGTGTACTTTGCCCCGCATGCAAGCGAGGCGGTGTCCTTCGATATTTTGGACACCAAATTCAACATGATCTTGGGCATGTCATGGCTGCGAAGCGAGGATCACCCGGTGAACTTCTACCGCCGCACAGTTCACGTTCGTGATCGGAACGGAGTACTAGTCCCATGCACTGTGGCTCCTTCTCACCCTTCGATCAGCTGCCACGTGGTGTCTGCCGCAAGCTTGCGAGCTTCCATCATCAGAGACGACATCGAGGAGATGGGGGTGTGTTTTCTCCACGCCCTCCCGCCCCATGACGCTTCATCGACGGACTCATCTTCGGACCCACGCATCACCGAGCTTCTCGACGCCTACGACGACGTGTTCGAAGGCCCGCACGGAGTAGTACCGGATCGGCCCATCCGCCACGAGATCATCCTCGAGGACGGGGCCGTACCTCCGCGCGGTTGCATCTACCGAATGAGCGAGGAAGAGTTAAGTGTACTACGGGCACAACTCGATGACCTTCTGGAGAAAGGCTGGATTTGGCCTAGCTCATCGCCATACGGTGCTCCCGTTCTCTTCGTTCGGAAGAAGAACAAGGATTTGCGGTTGTGCATCGATTATCGCAAGCTCATCGCGCAAACGATCAGAAACGCCGGCCCTCTTCCACGCATCGACGACCTTCTCGAACGGCTTGGTGGCGCCAAGTTCTTCTCCAAGCTTGACCTCAAGTCGGGATATCACCAACTCGAGATTCGGCAGGACGACCGCTACAAGACCGCGTTTAAGACGCGATATGGGCATTTCGAGTGGCTGGTTATGCCATTTGGCCTTACGAATGCCCCGACCACTTTCCAAGCGGCTATGACAACGCAGTTCCGACACGTGCTGGATTGATTCGTACTTATCTACCTCGACGACATCCTAGTGTACAGCCGGAGTTTGGACGAGCATGTGGAACACCTGCGCACCGTTTTGGAGCGGCTTCGACAAGCCAAGTACAAAGCCAACCGCGACAAATGCGAATTCGCGCGGCAGAAGCATTATGTGACGCCGCAAGGCATCCGTCTGCTTGCGGACAAGATCGAGGCCCTCCGCGTATGGCCCGAGCCCACCAACACCACGGGCGTTCGTTCATTCATGGGGTTGGCGGGTTACTATCAGTGATTCATCACCGGGTACTCAAGGATTGCTGCACCTATGACGAGATTACAATCGCCAAAGGTGCCAATCGTATTCGATGACGACGCACGCCGGTCATTCCAAGCACTTAAGATGGCCATGCTCATGGCACCCGTCCTTAGCATCTATGACCCCACCCTGTCTACGAGAGTGACAACTGACGCTTCCGGCTATGGCATTGGGGCAGTCTTGGAACAACACGACGGTGACGACTGGCACCCTGTGGAGTATTTCAGCCACAAAGTGCCTCCTATCAATTCGCTTGATGATGCAAGGAAGGAGCTGCTCACGTTCGTAATTGTTCTCAAGCGATGGCGGCACTTCCTCCTTGGGCGTCGTAGGTTCACATGGGTCACAGACAACAACCCATTGACCTAATACAAGACGCAAGATACAATGAGCAGCATGATCGGACGATGCCTCTCGCAGCAGATGCACTCTCGTGAAGACCTGATCTTTGCGCGATGACACATCATGCCTTCGCATTCGACGAGGAACTCCAGCAACACTTCATCCAAGGCTATGAGTCTGATCCGGACTTCGCCACGTTGTATGCACAGCTATCTTCGGATCACCCGCCGGCCAGCCACTATTGCATTGCCGACGGGTACTTGCTCCTCCACTCGAGAGGCAAGGACTTACTATGTGTCCCACGAGACCGTCGCCTTCGGACTCGCCTTCTTGGCGAGTATCATGATTCGCGACTCGCCGGCCATTTCGGAGTCAACCGCACCATTGCACGGCTTCGACAACGATTCCGATGGCCCGACCTCATTACCGATGTCACTCGATATTGCGACTCTTGCGAAGTTTGCCGACGAAGCAAGCCCTGCAATCGAAAATCCCTACGGCGAGTTGCCTATCCCACGGGAACCCGGCCTCTCCATTGCCATGGATGTCCCCGGACCATTTCCCCGCGATCGCCCTGGGCACGACGGCATCCTCACGGTTGTGGACCGATTGAGTAAATACGCGCGTTTTCTCCCTTGCAAGTACCACTCCACGGCTCCCCAGCTGGCACGCCTCTTGCACACCGGCTGGATTTGCGGCCACGGTGTACCGGAAGACATAGTCAGCGACCGCGACACTTGCTTCATGTCGGCATTTTGGACTGCTCTCATGCAGGAGTCCGACACGAAGATGAAACCAAGTTCGGCTCGGCATCCACAGACGAACGGGCAAACGGAGCGGGCACATCAAACCGCTCAAATGATGCTTCGTCCGCTCATCCGTCCGGACCAGAAGGATTGGGTTGACCGCCTCCCCGACATCGAGTTCGCCTACAACACTTCGGTGCACCCGGCGATCGGCGTGACTCCATTCGAGTTGCACCACGGTGGACGGAAAGGCCGTATCTTCGCCGACCTTCTCGTCCCACGACCTGCCGACATCGACGCCGCTTGCTCTCCCGCTTCCATCCGGAAGTACAGGGAATTGCTGGCTCAAGCCAGCGCAAACATGCAAAAGGCTCAAGTCCGCATGCAGCAGCAAGCCAACAGGC